ACTAAAATATGCTTTGCCTATGTAACAACATTTTAGAAAATTGGTTTTTACTGTTCTAATTATCTTACTAATATTTATATTTACCATTGAAAGTCGACTGAAATTTTACTACTTTATATGTCAAATTAAAAGTCAAATAAAATTGACATTATTAAATTTTCATTCCCGTACTTTCATATCAAATGAAATATTTTTAAGCATGCCTTTGAAATACATTATATAAAAAATTTATATATAATTACTATATGGAATGTAGTGCATATCTTAAATAAGATATCATCCTAGGATCCTAAATAATAATCAATATTTTAATTTGAAAAAATAAATTTTATCGCTAATCTCGTAGACAAAGATACAATAGTATATAATATTAATTAAATTTATATTTATAAATATGTATTTATAACTATTTGATGGAAATTTACTAATAGGCCAATTAGGCGTGCCATTTGCATATAATAAAAATTCGACATTTTTATAATAATTACTTTTTATTGCATCATGTAAAAATTAAATAAACCACCATAATAATTGCTACCAATATATTTTTTTATCTATTTCTCAATCAATCAAACAAATCAATTTTTATGATTCAAAATTATTTTATATATAATTACAACCAAAAATTATAAACACAATTAAACTATTCAGTAGTAATAAACAGTTTATTTATATACGGTTATATTTAATTTGGAAAATTTAAAATATAAAATAAATCTCAGATTCATTATAAATAAATATTTTCATATTGCTATAATCAGAAATTTAGTTGCCGCTTAAAAACTTTTAAAGAAACCATTCACTGCATTTGCTGCATCACCAAAAAAATTGTTGCTTATTGGCTCTTCCTGAAATAGTACAAGAAAATTAATATATGCACTACTTTGAATTTATATCGATATTATTTGACAATTACTTTTTGTTCCTGATTGCTAACTGGTTCTGATACTTCAGCTACGGCTTCCGAATTTTCCACATTTTCTGGTACCACAACTGATGTTTCAGGTTCAACTTCATTTTTTGCTATACCTATTATCACGTAACATTTTACATAGTTATGTCATAAAAATACACTGTTACAAAACTGTATCAATTTTATATTTATAACCTCTTTCCAATTCATCAATTAGAGATCCAGATACTTCTAATTCAGCTTTTGGCACTTGATCATCAGCAACAAGGCTAGTATGGAAAACCAAAGGAGATCCCAAAGTAATCTAAAATAAATGATTACTTTTTTACTTTATTTTTGTAACACTTTATTTTATATATGGACCATAATTACACATAATGTACGAAACTTATTATTTCATAAAAATAAAACATTTACCTGAATGAAGGTAATAGCGGCGAAAGCCACAAGCAATGCCTTTACGAAAGTCATGGTGCATTTATTTGGATGGTTAACAGTCTGTTCGTCTTTTTTCGTTTTTGCTGCTTATATACAATATCTTCACGTGCCATAATTCAAGTCAATTTTTAATTCCAATTGTTATCAAAATATTATTGACTCTTTTATATTCTTCTTACGTCACATGTTTACTTTTTTTATTAGCACAAGATAATAATCCTTGATGAATTCATAAATTCTAATTATAATCACTTATTGGATTATTGAAGTTTAAAAGTATATATTTTAAAGTAGAAATTTAAAAGTATCAATAAAAGTATTAAAATTTATAATTTGTTTTTTGGCATTCAATTTTTAACTATCTTAACCCAGCTTTTATTTATTTATTTATTTTTATTTATTCATAAGCAAGTCGTAATTAATAATAATAGATATTATTTTAGGCTCTTGTCAAGCTTATTCATAGTTAATATTAAAAGGATAGTAATTTTATAATAATCATAGTAGCTGCACGAATTTCGCTTCTGAAAAAAAGAGCTGAAAAAAAGCATTCGAACATTAAATACAATTAATAATCATCAATAAATAATAATTAATCATCAAGTTCATCATATTAAAGTCTATTTGACCACCAATCAAGCTCAAAATTCTTGCACAAGGTAAAAATTTTAAGATAATAAAATAGCAATAAAAAAAATAAAATTTTTTTTTGTAATATTTGCAAATATACTATAAAAAATAAGCATATTTTTACCTTATTTTTACATATAAAGATTTATGAGTTCATATTCATACATGTATATATAATATATATATATATATATATATATATATATATATATATAGCAGCAAATCACCATAAATCATATTTACTCTCCGAGTTTGAAAATTTATCACCTGTAGTATGAAAGATAGTAGTAAATGACTTCTTAGAACATAGTTGCAGATTTTTTTACTGCTGTTATCTTAAGTTAGGTCTATATACTTTTCAAATCTTTTACCTACTAATTAAGCGACAAATAAAGCAAGATATATGAAAAATTTAAAATAAAATTCAATTATTCGGAATGCACAAAAATCGTTCAAAAGTAATAATTCGCTTTTGAACTCGTCTATGTGTGTTGTCTCATACACTACTCTATACTGTACTATGTAGCAAAATATATAAAAATCTAAAATTAAATTCAAACATCCGGAATGCTAAAAAATCGTTGAAAAGTCGTAATTCAGTTTTGAGATCGCTTATGGATGTTTTCTCATATACTACTGTGTACTGTGAACAAATATGAGTTAGACATCATTTACAACATTTGAAATCTTCACCTATTCTTTTAAATTTAATTTATCCCCCTCAAAAGAATCCTTTTCTGATACAATGCAACTATGCCAACACTTTTGCCTTTTTGATTGGCTTTCATGTTTTTAATTGAGTCAAAACGATGTTCAGGCAATAGTCTTTCGAGTTTAGAGAATAGCCTGAAATGCTAAATCAGGCGAATACGACGTTTGTGGGACAATTGGTCAAATTCTTGGCGAAATCGTCAAGAAAGAACGAGTGCAGTATGGAATTGCAGTTATATATTTCTTACTCTGATGAAGCAATCAGTCACATCTGCATCTTATTTTTAAAAACATATATATATATATATATATATATATATATATATATATATAACGAAACATGTCCATATATATTAGGGTGGTCCTTAATATGGACATTTTTGAATTTATTTGCTCCAATGGCTCAAATGCTTCCTAATTGGTAAAAAAATATCTCTAAAAGTTTTAGCTTTTAATATTAACTTTTAGATAAAGCGCAATCCAATCAAAGTTTCGTAAGGATTAAATTAAGATTAGATCTCTACTTCCATGTGGCTATTATAATATTCTAGTATCTTATCTCGCCAATACGAAATTCAAAGTACGTGTCAACACTGAAACTTCAATATCTCATCAGATTGAGGCAGGAGTTCCACAAGGCAGTATTTTGGCGCCGTTTCTATATATCTTCTTCACTAGTGATTTTTCAACTCTTCAATCATCCACAACAACTACCTTTGCTGACGACATAGCAGTTCTTTCAATGATAATATGGAGAACTCTTAGAACTATCATACCTTTATATGAACAGAATAGTAGAATCACTTATTGAAGTGATTCTCTAAATATCAATATAATATTTGATATTATATGTGTGCGAGTGAATGACATAAAACAAATAGCTCGTAGATTGGTCATGTATTCTGAGTGAGTGCTATTGAAAATAAAATTTAAAAAAATGATAACGGAGCGATGAGTGAATCAAGAGTGACAAATCATGTCATGATTTATTAAAAATTCGATGCTTTACATAACTAGTTTTTTATAATTTGTTTTGAAGAGCGTCGAAATTTCAATTAAACTCATTCATTTATTTGCTAAGTTATATTTAAAAAACATTTTTAAAATTTTTGAAATTTTTTCCATGCTAATTCCTTCTGAAACTTTGATTGAATTGCGCTCTATCTAAAAGTTAATATTAAGAGCTAAAACTTACAGAGAACTTTTTTTTATCAATTTGGAAGCATTCGAGCCCCTAGGAGCAAGGACATACGAAAATGTCCATATTAAGGACCACCCTAATATCTATATATATATATATATATATATATATATATACATATATAATTAAATAACACGATATAAAATAAGTGCAAAAGGATAATTCTGACTTTAATAAGAAAGTGAAATAATAATAATAGGGTGAAAATATAAAATGGTAACAATTTAAATACTTTATTTTATACGTAATATATATATATATATATATATATATATATATATATATATATATACTCGATATAGAAAAAAAATAATACGAAAATATATCAAAAAATCTAAAGAAATATTAGTATTATCATATACAAATCTAGTTTAAATTTTACATTTGAAAATCATTTATTATATTCACAACAGTCTTAAAAATAATATAATCTCATCAGAAAGAGAATATGCAAACACTTGGTTGCCTTCTAGCAACTCTGAATTAAGGAGTTACATCCCAAGTCATGGAACATATATTCGAATACTGTTTTATACTTTAAATATAAATTTTAGATTTACAATTCATATATAGTAAAATTTATTATATATAGTAAAAGTTATATAGTGCTATAATAAAAAAAATATGAATTCATTTGGCATCTCTTGTTAATGTGAACATTTCTAAGTGTTTTGAGCAATAACATCGAGAATGTATATTATATGAACGATATCATATATAGTAATAATAATTAAATATTTGAAAATGTTTAAAACGATTGTTATTAACCATTGATTGACATTCATTGATAAATGATTTTTCGAATATTCGAATCTGGTAATCTCGAATATTTAATTCTTGTACGGGAAGTTCCAGCATTTCGAATCTCTTGAAAGTTCGAGGAAACATAAAATCAGAAAAATCAGATTTTTTTGCGAGAAAAAACTTCTCCTTCGGGAAAAGACTTAGAACAAAATGCATTATTATATTACTTTTATTTATATCTCAAACAAAAATTTAGAATGTATGGCATTAATACAAAATTCTTTAGATAACATAATTCTTTATAAGAGAACTATTGATATATTTCAAATAATTTCATAATCGAGTATCAATCATCATTCAAGCTTAAACTTTTCGCGATCCAAGGTTGATCCGACCCAAGAATCCACTAAGTGCTTCCAAGGCATTATCGATCACATCATCTACCATCTTTGCGATCTGAAATATAAAAAATGTGTAAAACCTATGTCGAGTATATTATTATATTAGGCGAATTGTTTACTTACCTTATCAACCGTGGTAGTAGGTTTTACTGGTGGCTCAACTGCTGGTTGCTCGGGTTTAACTGCGGGCTGTTCTGGCTCAACTGCTGGTTGCTCGGGTTCAACTGCTGGCTGTTCTGGCTCAACTGCTGGCTGTTCTGGCTCAACTGCTGGCTGTTCTGGCTCAACTGCTGGCTGCTCGGGTTCAACTGCTGGCTGCTCGGGTTCAACTGCTGGCTGTTCTGGCTCAACTGCTGGCTGTTCTGGCTCAACTGCTGGCTGTTCTGGCTCAACTGCTGGCTGTTCTGGCTCAACTGCTGGCTGTTCTGGCTCAACTGCTGGCTGTTCTGGCTCAACTGCAGGCTGTTCTGGCTCAACTGCAGGCTGTTCTGGCTCAACTGCAGGCTGTTCTGGCTCAACTGCTGGCTGTTCTGGCTCAATTGCTGGCTGTTCTGGCTCAACTGCTGGCTGTTCTGGCTCAACTGCTGGCTGTTCTGGCTCAACTGCTGGCTGTTCTGGCTCAACTGCTGGTTGCTCGGGTTCAACTGCTGGTTGCTCGGGTTCAACTGCTGGTTGCTCGGGTTCAACTGCTGGTTGCTCGGGTTCAACTGCTGGTTGCTCGGGTTCAACTGCTGGTTGCTCGGGTTCAACTGCTGGTTGTTCGGGTTCAACTAAGGGCTGTTCTGGCTCAACTGCTGGTTTCTCGGGTTCAACTGCTGGCTGTACTGGCTCAACTGCTGGTTTCTCGGGTTCAACTGCTGGCTGTACTGGCTCAACTGCTGGTTGTTCGGGCTCAACTGCTGGTTGCTCGGGTTCAACTGTTGGTTGTTCGGGCTCAACTGCTGGTTGTTCGGGCTCAACTGCTGGCTGTTCTGGATCAACTGCTGGTTGCTCGGGTTCAACTGCTGGTTGCTCGGGTTCAACTGCTGGTTGCTCGGGTTCAACTGCTGGTTGCTCGGGTTCAACTGCTGGTTGTTCTGGCTTAACTGCTGGCTGTTCTGGCTCAACTGCTGGTTGTTCTGGCTCAACTGCTGGCTGTTCTGGCTCAACTGCTGGCTGTTCTGGCTCAACTGCTGGCTGTTCTGGCTCAACTGCTGGCTGTTCTGGCTCAACTGCTGGCTGTTCTGGCTCAACTGCTGGTTGTTCTGGCTCAACTGCTGGCTGTTCTGGCTCAACTGCTGGTTGTTCTGGCTCAACTGCTGGCTTTCTGGCTCAACTGCTGGCTTTTCTGGCTCAACTGCTGGCTGTTCTGGCTCAACTGCTGGCTGTTCTGGCTCAACTGCTGGCTGTTCTGGCTCAACTGCTGGCTGTTCTGGCTCAACTGCTGGCTGTTCTCGGGTTCAACTGCTTGTTGCTCGGGTTCAACTGCTGGCTGTTCTGGCTCAACTGCTGGTTGCTCGGGTTCAACTGCTGGCTGTTCTGGCTCAACTGCCGGCTGTTCTGGCTCAACTGCCGGCTGTTCTGGCTCAACTGCCGGCTGTTCTGGCTCAACTGCTGGCTGTTCTGGCTCAACTGCTGGCTGTTCTGGCTCAACTGCTGGCTGTTCTGGCTCAACTGCTGGCTGTTCTGGCTCAACTGCTGGCTGTTCTGGCTCAACTGCTGGCTGTTCTGGCTCAACTGCTGGCTGTTCTGGCTCAACTGCTGGCTGTTCTGGCTCAACTGCTGGTTGCTCGGGTTCAACTGCTGGTTGCTCGGGTTCAACTGCTGGCTGATCTGGCTCAACTGCTGGTTGTTCGGGTTCAACTGCTGGTTGTTCGGGTTCAACAGCTGGTTGTTCGGGTTCAACTGCTGGTTGTTCGGGTTCCACTGCTGGCTGCTCGGGTTCAATTGCTGGCTGTTCTGGCTCAACTGCTGGTTGCTCGGGCTCAACTGCTGGCTGCTCGGGTTCAACTGCTGGTTGCTCGGGTTCAACTGCTGGTTGCTCGGGTTCAACTGCTGGTTGCTCGGGTTCAACTGCTGGTTGCTCGGGTTCAACGGCTGGCTGTTCTGGCTCAACGGCTGGCTGTTCTGGCTCAACGGCTGGCTGTTCTGGCTCAACGGCTGGCTGTTCTGGCTCAACGGCTGGCTGTTCTGGCTCAACGGCTGGCTGTTCTGGCTCAACTGCTGGTTGTTCTGGCTCAACGGCTGGCTGTTCTGGCTCAACTGCGGGTTGCTCGGGTTCAACTGCTGGCTGTTCTGGCTCAACTGCGGGTTGCTCGGGTTCAACTGCTGGCTGTTCTGGCTTAACAGCTGGTTGTTCGGGTTCAACGGCTGATTGCTCGGGTTCAACGGCTGGCTGTTCTGGCTCAACGGCTGGCTGTTCTGGCTCAACTGCTGGTTGTTCTGGCTCAACTGCTGGCTGTTCTGGCTCAACTGCTGGCTGCTCGGGTTCAACTGCTGGCTGCTCGGGTTCAACTGCTGGTTGTTCGGGTTCAACGGCTGGTTGTTCTGGCTCAACGGCTGGCTGTTCTGGCTCAACGGCTGGCTGTTCTGGCTCAACGGCTGGCTGTTCTGGCTCAACGGCTGGCTGTTCTGGCTCAACGGCTGGCTGTTTTGGCTCAACTGCTGGCTGTTCTGGCTCAACTGCTGGCTGTTCTGGCTCAACCGCCGGCTGTTCTGGCTCAACCGCCGGCTGTTCTGGCTCAACGGCTGGCTGTTCTGGCTCAACGGCTGGCTGTTCTGGCTCAACTGCTGGTTGCTCGGGTTCAACTGCTGGTTGTTCGGGCTCAACTGGTGGTTGCTCGGGTTTAACTGGTGGTTGCTCGGGCTCAACTGGTGGTTGCTCGGGCTCAACTGGTGGTTGTTCAGGTTCAACGGCTGGTTGCTCGGGTTCAACGGCTGGTTGTTCGGGTTCAAGGGCTGGTTGCTCGGGATCAACGGCTGGTTGCTCGGGTTCAACGGCTGGTTGCTCGGGTTCAACGGCTGGTTGCTCGGGTTCAACGGCTGGTTGCTCGGGTTCAACTGCTGGTTGTTCTGGCTCAACTGCTGGTTGTTCTGGCTCAACTGCAGGCTGTTCTGGCTCAACTGCAGGCTGTTCTGGCTCAACTGCAGGCTGTTCTGGCTCAACTGCTGGCTGTTCTGGCTGTTCTGGCTCTACTGCTGGCTGTTCTTCTGGCTGCTGTTCTGGCCGTTCTGGCTGCTGTTCTGGCTCAACCGCTGGCTGTTCTGGCTCAACCGCTGGCTGTTCTGGCTCAACCGCTGGCTGTTCTGGCTCAACTGCTGGCTGTTCTGGCTCAACTGCTGGCTGTTCTGGCTCAACTGCTGGCTGTTCTGGCTCAACTGCTGGCTGTTCTGGCTCAACTGCTGGCTGTTCTGGCTCAACTGCTGGCTGTTCTGGCTCAACTGCTGGCTGTTCTGACTCAACTGCTGGTTGTTCGGGATCAACTGCTGGTTGCTCGGGTTCAACTGCTGGTTGTTCGGGTTCAACTGCTGGTTGTTCGGCTTCAACTGCTGGCTGTTCTGGCTTAACTGCTGGCTGTTCTGGCTCAACTGCTGGCTGTTCTGGCTCAACTGCTGGCTGTTCTGGCTCAACTGCTGGTTGTTCGGGTTCAACTGCTGGTTGTTCGGCTTCAACTGCTGGCTGTTCGGGTTCAACTGCTGGCTGTTCTGGCTCAACTGCTGGCTGTTCTGGCTCAACTGCTGGCTGTTCGGGTTCAACTGCTGGTTGTTCGGGTTCAACTGCTGGTTGTTCGGGTTCAACTGCTGGTTGTTCGGGTTCAACTGCTGGTTGTTCGGGTTCAACTGCTGGTTGTTCGGGTTCAACTGCTGGTTGTTCGGGTTCAACTGCTGGTTGCTCGGGTTCAACTGCTGGTTGTTCGGGTTCAACTGCTGGTTGTTCGGGTTCCACTGCTGGCTCTTTGGGTTCAACTGCTGGCTCTTCGGGTTCAACTGCTGGCTCTTCGGGTTCAACTGCTGGCTGCTCTGGCTCAACTGCTGGCTGCTCTGGCTCAACTGCTGGCTGTTCTGGTTCAACTGCTGGCTGTTCTGGCTCTACAGCTGGTTGCTCGGGTTCAACTGCAGGTTGCTCAGGTTCAACTGCTGGTTGCTCGGGTTCAACTGCTGGTTGCTCGGGTTCAACTGCTGGTTGCTCGGGTTCAACTGCTGGTTGCTCGGGTTCAACTGCTGGTTGCTCGGGTTCAACTGCTGGCTGTTCTGGTTCAACGGCGGGCTGCTCGGGTTCAACGGCTGGCTGCTCGGGTTCAACGGCTGGCTGCTCGGGTTCAACTGCTGGCTGCTCGGGTTCAACTGCTGGTTGCTCGGGTTCAACTGCTGGTTGTTCGGGTTCAACGGCGGGCTGTTCTGGTTCAACGGCGGGCTGTTCTGGTTCAACGGCGGGCTGTTCTGGTTCAACGGCTGGCTGCTCGGGTTCAACTACTGGCTGTTCTGGCTCAACTGCTGGTTGCTCGGGTTCAACTGCTGGTTGCTCGGGTTCAACTGCTGGTTGCTCGGGTTCAACTGCTGGTTGCTCGGGTTCAACTGCTGGTTGCTCGGGTTCAACTGCTGGTTGCTCGGGTTCAACTGCTGGTTGCTCGGGTTCAACTGCTGGTTGCTCGGGTTCAACTGCTGGTTGCTCGGGTTCAACTGCTGGTTGCTCGGGTTCAACTGCTGGTTGCTCGGGTTCAACTGCTGGTTGCTCGGGTTCAACTGCTGGTTGCTCGGGTTCAACGGCTGGTTGCTCGGGTTCAACGGCTGGTTGCTCGGGTTCAACGGCAGGTTGCTCGGGTTCAACGGCTGGTTGCTCGGGTTCAACGGCTGGTTGCTCGGGTTTCAACGGCTGGTTGCTCGGGTTCAACGGCTGGTTGCTCGGGTTCAACGGCTGGTTGCTCGGGTTCAACGGCTGGTTGCTCGGGTTCAACGGCTGGTTGCTCGGGTTCAACGGCTGGTTGCTCGGGTTCAACGGCTGGTTGCTCGGGTTCAACGGCTGGTTGCTCGGGTTCAACGGCTGGTTGCTCGGGTTCAACGGCTGGTTGCTCGGGTTCAACGGCGGGCTGTTCTGGCTCAACGGCTGGTTGCTCGGGTTCAACGGCGGGCTGTTCTGGCTCAACTCCTGGCTGTTCTGGCTCAACTGCTGGCTGTTCTGGCTCTACTGATGGCTGTTCTGGCTGCTGTTCTGGCTGTTCTGGCTGTTCTGGCTGCTGTTCTGGCTGTTCTGGCTGCTGTTCTGGCTGCTGTTCTGGCTCAACCGCTGGCTGTTCTGGCTCAACCGCTGGCTGTTCTGGCTTAACTGCTGGCTGTTCTGGCTCAACTGCTGGCTGTTCTGGTTCAACTGCTGGCTGTTCTGGCTCAACTGCTGGCTGTTCTGGCTCAACTGCTGGTTGTTCGGGATCAACTGCTGGTTGCTCGGGTTCAACTGCTGGTTGTTCGGGTTCAACTGCTGGTTGTTCGGCTTCAACTGCTGGCTGTTCTGGCTCAACTGCTGGCTGTTCGGGTTCAACTGCTGGTTGTTCGGGTTCAACTGCTGGTTGTTCGGGTTCAACTGCTGGTTGTTCGGGTTCAACAGCTGGTTGCTCGGGTTTAACTGCTGGTTGTTCGGGTTCAACTGCTGGTTGTTCGGGTTTAACTGCTGGTTGTTCGGGTTCAACTGCTGGTTGTTCGGGTTCAACTGCTGGTTGTTCGGGTTCAACTGCTGGTTGTTCGGGTTCAACTGCTGGTTGTTCGGGTTCAACTGCTGGTTGTTCGGGTTCAACTGCTGGTTGTTCGGGTTCAACTGCTGGTTGTTCGGGTTCAACTGCTGGTTGTTCGGGTTCAACAGCTGGTTGCTCGGGTTCAACTGCTGGTTGTACGGGTTCAACTGCTGGTTGTTCGGGTTCCACTGCTGGCTCTTTGGGTTCAACTGCTGGCTCTTCGGGTTCAACTGCTGGCTGCTCTGGCTCAACTGCTGGCTGCTCTGGCTCAACTGCTGGCTGCTCTGGCTCAACTGCTGGCTGCTCTGGCTCAACTGCTGGCTGCTCTGGCTCAACTGCTGGCTGTTCTGGTTCAACTGCTGGTTGTTCGGGTTCAACTGCTGGTTGTTCGGGTTCAACTGCTGGTTGTTCGGGTTCAACTGCTGGTTGTTCGGGTTCAACTGCTGGTTGTTCGGGTTCAACTGCTGGTTGTTCGGGTTCAACTGCTGGTTGTTCGGGTTCAACTGCTGGTTGTTCGGATTCAACAGCTGGTTGTTCGGGTTCAACTGCTGGTTGTTCGGGTTCAACAGCTGGTTGTTCGGGTTCAACTGCTGGTTGCTCGGGTTCAACTGCTGGTTGTTCGGGTTCAACTGCTGGCTCTTTGGGTTCAACTGCTGGCTCTTCGGGTTCAACTGCTGGCTGCTCTGGCTCAACTGCTGGCTGCTCTGGCTCAACTGCTGGCTGCTCTGGCTCAACTGCTGGCTGCTCTGGCTCAACTGCTGGCTGTTCTGGTTTAACTGCTGGCTGTTCTGGCTCTACAGCTGGTTGCTCGGGTTCAACTGCAGGTTGCTCGGGTTCAACTGCTGGTTGCTCGGGTTCAACTGCTGGTTGCTCGGGTTCAACTGCTGGTTGCTCGGGTTCAACGGCTGGCTGCTCGGGTTCAACGGCTGGCTGCTCGGGTTCAACTACTGGCTGCTCGGGTTCAACTCCTGGTTGCTCGGGTTCAACTGCTGGTTGCTCGGGTTCAACTGCTGGTTGCTCGGGTTCAACTGCTGGTTGCTCGGGTTCAACTGCTGGTTGCTCGGGTTCAACTGCTGGTTGCTCGGGTTCAACTGCTGGTTGCTCGGGTTCAACTGCTGGTTGCTCGGGTTCAACTGCTGGTTGCTCGGTTCAACGGCGGGCTGTTCTGGTTCAACGGCGGGCTGTTCTGGTTCAACGGCGGGCTGTTCTGGTTCAACGGCGGGCTGTTCTGGTTCAACGGCGGGCTGCTCGGGTTCAACGGCTGGCTGCTCGAGTTCGACTACTGGCTGTTCTGGCTCAACTGCTGGTTGCTCGGGTTCAACTGCTGGTTGCTCGGGTTCAACTGCAGGTTGCTCGGGTTCAACTGCTGGTTGCTCGGGTTCAACTGCTGGATGTTCTGGCTCAACGGCTGGCTGTTCTGGCTCAACGGCTGGCTGTTCTGGCTCAACGGCTGGCTGTTCTGGCTCAACGGCTGGCTGTTCTGGCTCAACGGCTGGCTGTTCTGGCTCAACGGCTGGCTGTTCTGGCTCAACGGCTGGTTGTTCTGGCTCAACGGCTGGCTGTTCTGGCTCAACGGCTGGCTGTTCTGGCTCAACGGCTGGCTGTTCTGGCTCAACGGCTGGCTGTTCTGGCTCAACGGCTGGCTGTTCTGGCTCAACGGCTGGCTGTTCTGGCTCAACGGCTGGCTGTTCTGGCTCAACGGCTGGCTGTTCTGGCTCAACGGCTGGCTGTTCTGGCTCAACGGCTGGCTGTTCTGGCTCAACGGCTGGCTGTTCTGGCTCAACGGCTGGCTGTTCTGGTTCAACTGCTGGCTGTTCTGGCTCAACTGCTGGCTGTTCTGGCTCAACTGCTGGCTGTTCGGGTTCAACTGCTGGTTGTTCGGCTTCAACTGATGGCTGTTCTGGCTCAACTGCTGGTTGTTCGGGTTCAACTGCTGGTTGTTCGGGTTCAACAGCTGGTTGTTCGGGTTCAACTGCTGGTTGTTCGGGTTCAACTGCTGGTTGTTCGGGTTCAACAGCTGGTTGCTCGGGTTCAACAGCTGGTTGCTCGGGTTCAACTGCTGGTTGTTCGGGTTCCACTGCTGGCTCTTTGGGTTCAACTGCTGGCTCTTCGGGTTCAACTGCTGGCTGCTCTGGCTCAACTGCTGGCTGCTCTGACTCAACTGCTGGCTGCTCTGGCTCTACAGCTGGTTGCTCGGGTTCAACTGCAGGTTGCTCGGGTTCAACTGCAGGTTGCTCGGGTTCAACTGCTGGTTGCTCGGGTTCAACTGCTGGTTGCTCGGGTTCAACTGCTGGCTGTTCTGGTTCAACTGCTGGCTGTTCTGGTTCAACTGCTGGCTGTTCTGGTTCAACTGCTGGTTGCTCGGGTTCAACTGCTGGCTGCTCGGGTTCAACTACTGGTTGCTCGGGTTCAACTGCTGGTTGCTCGGGTTCAACTGCTGGTTGCTCGGGTTCAACTGCTGGTTGTTCGGGTTCAACTGCTGGTTGCTCGGGTTCAACTGCTGGTTGCTCGGGTTCAACTGCTGGTTGCTCGGGTTCAACTGCTGGTTGCTCGGGTTCAACTGCTGGTTGCTCGGGTTCAACTGCTGGTTGCTCGGGTTCAACTGCTGGTTGCTCGGGTTCAACTGCTGGTTGCTCGGGTTCAACTGCTGGTTGCTCGGGTTCAACTGCTGGTTGCTCGGTTTCAACTGCTGGTTGCTCGGGTTCAACTGCTGGTTGCTCGGGTTCAACTACTGGTTGCTCGGGTTCAACTGCTGGTTGCTCGGGTTCAACTGCTGGTTGCTCGGGTTCAACTGCTGGTTGCTCGGGTTCAACTGCTGGTTGCTCGGGTTCAACGGCGGGCTGTTCTGGTTCAACGGCGGGCTGTTCTGGTTCAACGGCGGGCTGTTCTGGTTCAACGGCGGGCTGTTCTGGTTCAACGGCGGGCTGCTCGGGTTCAACGGCTGGCTGCTCGGGTTCAACTACTGGCTGTTCTGGTTCAACTGCTGGTTGCTCGGGTTCAACTGCTGGTTGCTCGGGTTCAACTGCTGGTTGCTCGGGTTCAACTGCTGGTTGCTCGGGTTCAACTGCTGGTTGCTCGGGTTCAACTGCTGGTTGCTCGGGTTCAACTGCTGGTTGCTCGGGTTCAACTGCTGGTTGCTCGGGTTCAACTGCTGGTTGCTCGGGTTCAACTGCTGGATGTTCTGGTTCAACGGCTGGCTGTTCTGGCTCAACGGCTGGCTGTTCTGGCTCAACGGCTGGCTGTTCTGGCTCAACGGCTGGCTGTTCTGGCTCAACGGCTGGCTGTTCTGGCTCAACGGCTGGCTGTTCTGGCTCAACGGCTGGCTGTTCTGGCACAACGGCTGGCTGTTCTGGCTCAACGGCTGGCTGTTCTGGCTCAACGGCTGGCTGTTCTGGCTCAACGGCTGGCTGTTCTGGCTCAACGGCTGGCTGTTCTGGCTCAACGGCTGGCTGTTCTGGCTCAACGGCTGGCTGTTCTGGCTCAACGGCTGGCTGTTCTGGCTCAACGGCTGGCTGTTCTGGCTCAACGGCTGGCTGTTCTGGCTCAACGGCTGGCTGTTCTGGCTCAACGGCTGGCTGTTCTGGCTCAACGGCTGGCTGTTCTGGCTCAACGGCTGGCTGTTCTGGCTCAACGGCTGGCTGTTCTGGCTCAACGGCTGGCTGTTCTGGCTCAACAGCTGGCTGTTCTGGCTCAACTGCTGGCTGTTCTGGCTGTTCTGGCTGTTCTGGCTCAACTGCTGGTTGCTCGGGTTCAACTGCTGGTTGCTCGGGTTCAACTGCTGGTTGCTCGGGTTCAACTGATGGCTGTTCTGATTCTTCCACAGGTTCCTTTGACTCTGCAGGTTCTTCTGTTGGGGTTTCTGTCCCTGGATCTTCTAATTTGAGGCACTCCTTGGCAGCTTCAATAATTTTCTGAACTTCTTCTTCTGCTTGCTGCACTGCTGGTAAAGCACATTCTTCTACTTCTTCTTTTAGCATTTCTAGTCTATCTGACAGTTCTTTAACTTTATCTTCAAATTCTTGTTGAACAATAATTTGATGTTGTTTTACCTTTTGAAAATATCAAAATTAGCATATTGTATGAGGTGTGTGTTGTAATATTACTATAATTTATTTGTTGCAATTTTGTTTTGGTAATAATATGAAAAATAGTTACCCCTTGGAAGCATCGTTCCGTATTTTGTGTGTTTGGTAGTAATTGCAAGCATGCTGCATATTCTTTTGCTATTTCTTCGGTTTTCTTTCCTAACTCGTGTACGGTTTGTTGAGTTTCATTGTAAATAGCATTTGCTTCGTCTCTTCTTTCTTCTAAACAAGTTTTTAAAGCATCATCTGCACTTTGCATTACTTCTTGCGCTTTTTCGTGTTGTTCTCTTATGCATTGTTTTGCTGCTTCTGACATCTTCTCATTTTGTAATAGATCGTCTAAACTGTTGCTTACCTAATTAATTAAAGTTTAAAAGTTTGGCACTTAAATAGATTTTTTTGAATTATTATTATTATTTATTATACTTTTACCTCTGTGACTTGACGATGAATTTCGTATTTTCCTATTGCTTCATATCTTTTGGTATATCTTTCAAATTCTGCGAAATCTGCATCTAATACTTCCATATTATACATTGCACTTCTTGAAACTTCATATTCAAATTTCCTCGCTAAATCTTGTGCTTTTCTCATTGTTGATCTTGTAATCATATTTTGGAAAACTGAACCAAATACGGGAAATCTACTACTCGACGCAGGTACTTCAATGTTATCAAATACATTTTTTGCGATATTTCCCCAAATATTAGGCACAATAGATACCTTAAAAATAAAAACAAAATTTGTAATTTTGAATTAAAAATTAACTTGAGGGTAGGTTTGTAGAACATACGAATCTTCCTGCTTGTGTTCCAAAATCCGTAATAGTGTTTCCAATTCCATTTAAGCCTATTTGATTGAATCCACTTCCTACAGCCTGGCTAATGCCTGATAAAAGCAAATTATAAATATACAAATCTATTTTGACTTTACCAAAACGGATTTTCTAACGAAACATAAAAATATCGCTCGAGAATGTAAGATAAAATATATTATAAAATATCTAATTAAAATAATACCTTGTATAATGCTTCCAGGAACATATCCAGTCGATTCACGTGGCTCTGCATTTTGTGTGGGACTTCCTAAGTTATTATCAAATCCAAATAATGGAGTTCCATTTGAAGACTATACCAAATATAAATTATATTTTATCATATTAATAAAATCCGCGTTTATGTTATAATCAAGTACATTTCGAATGTAAAATATAAATTTTTACATTCATATTTTTCTCATTACGATTGCTTTTTACTTACATGTAACAGAGCTAATGTGGCAATCACCACTATCAGCGATTTTATCGCCATTTTTGAAAGAACTCGAAAGCTCTTTTGGCAAGCATAATTGTAATTGATTCCTCTTATACGTCCTAATCATGTGACCGTTATGTTCAAAATATTATTTTTAAAATAATTGATCAAAATACATTTGAATAAACAAATTAATCAAATAACCGCATAATTATGTATCAAAGAATTATCTTCGCGAATCGCTCATGTATGAATTGATGTTATTTTTTACTGATAACATTTTTGCGACAATTGTAAGCTGAATTTCACCTTCTCAGTCGGATAAAGTTTAATGCATTTAATAAATTAAGAATAATATTAGTATTGAACAATTTTGTAAAAATATCAGAAAAGTCGATCTGTTTGATAGAAGTGCGACGTTATTATTACTATTTGGTTAAAAGGTTTAGTTTAAATTTTATAAATTATCATCAAATCAATAATATATATAAATAAGTCCAAAAAAGATTGTTCAATTAATAGTTATGATATATAAATTCCAAATGTATTAACTGAAGTATCTTATTAATTACAGCTGTAATCATTATAATAAAATTCTAATAAAATTACTGAATGTTAAGATGTGTGATAAAACACAAAACTTAGTAACTTGGACTGTAAATTTTGTATTCATATATTTTCACATTCATATTAATAGAAGTAACAATATAACAATTAGTATAAATTAGTATGAATCATAATTAGTATAATTAATGAAACTCAAATATAAAATTTATTATGTGAAAAAAAAATTATATGTGAATTCTATAATAGTTCAAAATATTGTCGATTTGTCGATGATTTTAATATTGGCGATTGACATTGATTAATTTCAGAAACTTAGTATAGAGATATGTTTGTCGTGTAATATTGTGATAAAAATGTAATAAATTAATAAACCTTTTTTAATACGTGTAAATTTACATAAAAATAATTTATGAATTTAATTATGTATTTTAAATCGTTTGTGAGAACATTTTATGGTTTTGCTACTTATTATTGTGATAAAGTAATTCAGTATTACCCGATATGATATTATACATATATCGATAGTAAATAATAACAAGTAATTCAATAACAGTTTCTATACTAGTTTAAACTATGTATTTCTGATGTATTGCTTATCATATGTGAATGGAGATATACTATTCCAAAATTATATCCTTATTATTACATTGATAACCTTGGAACTTTGTAACATGCCATAAATATATCGCAATATTTTCTTAACATTAATCATAAATTTGTATGTTCTTGGTTATAAGCAAGTAATAACAAAACAATTTCTGCATTTAGGCTATGTATTTCAACCATCTATAATTATTTTCATTTTGTATATTGGCATATACTATAACATAATTAAACACGTGGGCATCCTACTTGTGACAAAAGTTTGACAAAATTGTTATACTGCATAATATAACTACGGGATAGTCTTAGCATTTTTTTTATTTCTAGTTATGAACAAATCTTAACATGAGTTTCTGTACTATTTTAGATTTATTCACAAGATATATGATTATTTTCAGTTTGTGTATACGATATACTAAGGCATAATCATACATGTTGATATCTGTGGAGCAAAAGTGGTATAATGCAAAAATAATTGCGAAATGCTAATGGAGAATGTAAATGGTAATGCAATTAATCCATAAATTGTTGAAAAAATCTGAAAAGAGATTATATATATTTTTGTGTTATATATTGAATTCAGTAATATATACGAGGTCTGTTCAAAAAGTACCCGGAATTACTAATAATTAAATTTCGCGGGTCTGGAGTGTCTGATTGTCAAAATTTTTTTTTTATTGTGTTGGTATACATGCCCCTAAAGTATGATGAAATTTTCAGCTATATTCACTGTTTACTTTGTCTGTGGTAGTCGCTAAGGTTCGACGTGTTTTTCTGAGCTCGGCGATTTTTACAATGGAAGAATTGAAAAGTCAAAGAATTTGTATTAAATTTTGCGTAAAAAATGAAATAAAGTGTTGCAAAGTGCAAAAATTCACCAGATATGGCTCCGTGTGACTTTTTCCTATTCCCAAAGTTGAAGAGACCCATGAAACGACGGCGGTTTTCCTCGATTGAAGAAAATCGCTGAGAGTGCTCAAGGACATATCAAAAAGTGAATATCAAGGGTGCTTCGAAAATTGGAAAAAACGCTGGCATAAGTGTATTATATCTGGGGGGGACTACTTTGTAGGGGACCACATTAATGTAGACGAATAAATAAATATTTTTTTGAAAAAACGAAAATTCCGGGTACTTTTTGAACAGACCTCGTATATATATATATATATATATATATATATTATATATATATATATATATATTGTGTATTAACCTACCGAGCCAGCGCATGCGAGAAATGTGGAATCCTTTCCTGCACAGTTCCTGATTATATTGGGAATAATTCCCAGTACGAAGAGGATATCTCTTATAATTTTAGCTATCTAATAATTTATTATTTTTTTAGATAAAATGTATAATGCAAATTTATACATTGTATTTTTATCACTTACTGCATTGAAAATTGCTAGAAATTGGTTAAAAAGCATTGCTTGGATTTTCTGTAGATTTGTGCTAAAAATTCTTCCAATGATTCTAGAAATATAGCAAACCATTCCACAATCCTCAAATTAAAGATGTTGGACCCTCTTATAACAGCTTGAATAATTGACCTTACCTGTATTACAATAATTAACTAAATATAGCGTTTGAACGTTTAATATAAAGTATAAATATGACGTTAACATATTTTTTTATTAACTATAGTTCATAAAATAGGTAATTTACCAATGAAACAGTTACTCTTGTCATGTTCTCAACTCCATTCAAAATTACGACAGGAATACCTATCACTGCATTTACCATTGATCTACAATGAACAAATAGTTAGCAATATAGGGTTATGATAATAAATAAGCAAATGTACATTAGCTCCTTAGTCAAAATCGAATAACTAAAACTTATAGTCAAACGTTCATTATTGTTATATTACGAGTATGTAGAGTTTCAAAGACTCTGAATATTATTATTATAAATTTGCTGTTCCTACGATTCTAACAAATTCAGTGAAATTATGAACTCAGCAACAGTTCAACGTAATAAAAAATATTCTATAAATTACTGTGATGGCTGAGGTAAGTCAACTGCAGTAACTTCTTCGCCTTCCAATAGCTCCTATTGAAAAGTAGAATATTAGTACTTATATTAGTATTTCTAAAACTATCATTCAAAAATATTATTGAATATTTGTATACCTGCGCAATTTCTTCATCGCCGTCCAATAATTCCTATTGAAAAGTAGAATATTAGTACATATATTAGTAATACTAAAACTATCATTCAAAAATATTTTTGAATATTTGTATACCTGCGCAATTTCTTCATCGCCTTCATCCTATTAAAAAGTAGATTATTAGTACATATATTAGTATTTCTAATACTATCATTCAAAAATATTTTTGAATATTTGTATACCTGCGCAAAATTTTGATTTACACATACTACTAAAAGTATTATGAACAAATAATACTTCATTTTTCTTATTTATATCTTTATATTCACCAATTATGACATAACTACTATTATATATTAAGAATGATTTTTAAAGTAATCAATAATAGAAAGCCTTGATTACTTGGAAATGATATTAACACTAACAACTTGGAGTTTCATAACTTGAATAAATAATAAATTTTGTAATGTTTCTATCAAACAAGTTTATGCTTTTTTACAACATAATCAAAAGTTACGCCTAAATTATTTTAATGATTAGTTCTAACACAAACTACAGTTTTATTGAATTGAAAAATTGTGATAAGTTATTGATGCAGAAATGAAAATGCATAAAAGTTCACTTGCTGGTTTATTAGATTATGTATTTGTTCATCTATAAAACTAATAGTTAAGAAAAATTATTTCAAGTTACAATTTCACACGATGCAATTTTCCACAACATCATTAATTTCTTCCAATCTGGATTCCCATTTATTCAAATTGTCTGAAGAACATTTTCCCAAATCTAAACGAAGTTCCACGACATTCCTGAGGGCTTCTCCTACTTTAATGCCAACATCAGTTGAAACTCTGGCTGCTGCTAGTTGTATATTTAATGCAACCTAAAATAATATAAAAAATAATTATTTTAGCAAATATTACAAGTAATTGTAATAATTATGAAAATATACTCTATGCTATAAAAGAACTTTATTAAAATTTTGATAAATAATTTATACAGAGCAAGGAACCTTTTGCATGCATTTGGCCGATTCTTTTCGTTCCCTGAAACTCATTCTTGCAGGCAATTTATCAGTACAATCATTTAGCTCATCAACTAATTCTTGAACACCTTCGAAAGCTTCATCAAATATTGCACCAAGATTATCACTTAAATCATTAGCTCCAAATAATTGACGACGAATACATGAATTTGCATCGTTGATTGTTGAATTGGCCAAAACTTTAACTGCAGCCAATTGATCCCTCAAGCATTGACGGGCAGAATCATCGAACATTTGTTGTAATAGTAATCCTCCAATATTTGTTTTGATCTGATAATAAATTGAGGCAATAGTAGTAGTATGTAAACTCTTTCGAGTTCAATAACTAGCAATATTTTACCTCCTCGGTTTCCTCTTGGATTTTTTCAGTGATGGAATTAAGAATGCCTACTGCGTCGTCATTCATTTCTTGGATGGCATTTTCAAATTTAAGTCTAGCATCATCAATAGCCTAAACAGATGAAGTAGTCAGTACAATTGAAAATTAATTTTGTAATTTATCTTACCATTGAAACAGCCTTTTCAAGTCGTTCCAAGGAAAGCTTTGCTTTAGACAAGGCTGGTCTCATCAATGCATCTCTAAATCTAAGCAAAAGTTCGGACTTTATTCTAATTGCTTCACTTATCAAATTCAAGGTTCCTTTTGTAACAGCTTCTATTTCTTTGGTTAGTGCAACTAAAACTTTACCGAGGCCTGTGAAAAAAATAAAATTAAAAAATTCTTTGTTGTTCAAGTCATCGGTTTGTGCTTTTCCTCAATCTCAGTGACATATTGTAGATATAATTAGACTTGTTAGTACTAAAGTTAAGAGTATCTAGCATTGATACTTTAATTAACTGTTACTCTCATTACGCATTATTACATTATTAATAATTTGCATTTAAGCTTACTACAGCTGAAAACTGTGAAACCATTAAAAAATTTGAAAATAGTTAAATAAGATGTATGTATATAAATATATAACAGTCTTGTATCTCACCAGTGGTTATGTCTGTAGTTACTTTAGCTACATTATCAAAAACTTCGGTAACTAAAACGTCCAAATTGTATACCAACTCCTGCAAAACATCTGAGACAATACCTCTTTGACTGATTTCGAAGGTTGTTGGAATAGCATTTTGGATTGGTTCTGCCTCTATGGTAGGAATGGCAATTGAAATCTACAAAACAAAAATATATGTGAATATTTTTTTAGCAATTTTTTAGGTAAGAATATATTTATATTCCAAATCAAGTTACAAAATGACATCTTACTTGAAAGAGGCTTAAAGCCACCAGAGCAAAAATGCAAGATGTCTTCAGCATTTCCGAAATTTCAGAATGCACTTGGAATAATCATGAGCAATTCACTTTAATTATTAGAGAAATGCAACATTTCCGACCATTTATATAAGCATAATTGTTATCTAATTTCTTTTTTCTCATTTTATTAGTTTGTTTAGGTATTAGACTAAAATAGCTAAATTTTGATTAAGTTCAGTAAATACTAGATAAAACGTGAAAGGCAGTATCTTATCATTCTTAATAAATTTATTATAATACCTACATTCTCCTTGTGCAATCTTCTTACATTAGTTGCATAAAATAGTAAAAATTATGCATACATCATAATTGCATACACACACACTCACACATTATATATATATATATATATATATATATATATATATATATATATATATATATATATATATATATATTATATATATATATAAATAATTATCAAATTTCTGTTTGTTAATAATGCATGTGTACCCATGTTAAATATTGTGTTTGCCCCAATATTTGATAAATTTATTTGCTCGTTATTTGACGTAATCAGCTTATCGCTGACTTAATTTGATATTACGTATTTTTCGGAAACAATAACTTGTTATAATGTAATTTTTATGAATTAATAAGTGTTTGGTATGTCAAATTTCGGAAAAATATTTGCTATCTTCAATGCAATTGTAAATTATGTTTGTTTAAAAATTGTAAAAACATTTTGGAGGTTGTACTTAAATTTCTGCTGATAAATATATATATATATATATATATATATATATATATATATATATATATATATGGAATATATTTTCATTAAATATTTTCGGACTTTTCAATAATGTTTAATTGCAAATATAGACAAATTAGTTGTAAATATATTATTATAAGTATAATAAAAATTTTTAGATGATGTAAATTCTTTGCTTTATTTAACTGTGAATAATATAACATTAACTACAGCATATGAAAACTCTTTTTGTAAGAGAATGTGCAATATGATTGATAGAAAAATGTTTGATAAATAAAATTCAAAAATCAATTAAGAAGAAACGGTTCAGTAGATCTTTACCAAACTCTCATCAGCACGATTTTCAACAAATATCATACAAACAGTTTGCGAAATTTTGAAATCGATTTTTTTGAGAAAAAATGTTGACGAAAAATTAATTGGTGATTATAAAGAAACAACACAGCCAATTGTGCAAAACAAATTACCACACATTCACATACTATTACTAATATTAGTGTCATATGATTCAGAATGACTTGAAACGTCGGCAAGAGTTTATCGTTCCGATACTGTACAGCCAATTATATGCTATTTTGTTTTCGTAGATTCCGTTCGGAAATTTTTTATGTTTTTGATCAAAGTTGACCGGCATGTTAGTAGTCTTAACATCGCACAGGAGCTGGAAAATAGACCAAAAAACAGTTTTAAACCAATAAACCAAAATTTTAAACCAAAAATAATGGATTATTTCCCCCAACCTAGTATAATGTAAAATATTATACAATACAATAGTGTCAAAAGTCTTATCATGAATTATTTTTACATTTTTCACTCGCACCTCATCGGGCGTATAGTCATACATCACACGTGATTCGCTTAGCGCCCTTCATCAAAATAAATAAAAAATCAGACGGGCTAAGAAGCATGAGACCATGGTTCATGGTATGAAAGCAAAATAAATAACAATCTTGAAAATTCCACCGGCATCATATATTATACGATGAGTCGCTCTTTTAAGGAGCGTTCTGCCAAGATCATTCATCATTCTCAGGCACAGCCGACTAGAGACTGAATGAAAACGAGACGTTCGTTTTTAGTAGTTTGAGTAAATTTGATATAGACGTCTTTAAATATAAAAGATATAAAATTTATTATAGCTTTTTATAAGATACATTTGTTACGAGTCTCCAAATTGCTAAAGAGATACATTTTGGATCATGTGAAGAATTATAATATATATCACACAGCATTCTCAAATGATAAGTTTATGGCACAAATCTAAAATTATTTCTGATAGCATGTCAAGGGCAAGATAAAAATTTATATTACTCCATCTACTTATGGATATTCTCAAATATGTTAATATAACAACAAATTTTCAACAAAACAATTACAGAATGTGTATTCACGCAGTGATTTTACGAGACACTATTAAGAAGCATTTTTTAGAATAAACTCTAATCTTTTGACATTTCTAAATAACATTATTTTATTACACTAAAATAGTTCAGATTTAAGATGAAAACGTCTTTTTATACCCATAGTTATATTTCGGAAAATGATATGTATATAACGTATGTAACAAGTCAATGTATGTACAAATGTTAAAGAACTAATTTTTGGTGATGGTTAATTTTGAATTCATTTTAGTTGATCATTTGTTAATTTCAAGATTTTACTTTAATCTCAATAAATCAATTTTTATATATCGTAAATAATTTCAAGTAAAATTTCTACAGGGTCCGATTAATTCTGTACTAGACAACGTTCAATTGTTAAGTAAATATTTAATCTAAATAATTACTTTGCATAGATGTTATCAAATATTTGCAGATAACTTTTCCATCGTTACTGTAATTTTATAAATAGAAACTATTTCTGTAATTTCAAACAGAAATTATGTAATTTTTGCCATTCGAATATCTATATTTAGACATAAATTAAAAGAAATGTTGTACACTAATCACTAAATATATACAAAGACACTTAAATATTTTATTATACTTCCCCTATAGTACTTGTTTTATTTTTATTCAAAATTTAGATGATTTTAGTATTAACCAGAAGTTCAAAAAATAATCCAATAAACAAAAAGAAAATAATTCAATAAAATAAAATAAAAAATATGAATTATTATAATTTGATTTATTCAACCTCTAATTTGAAAGTCTTGGGCGTTTGGTTTATTCAACTTATAAGTGGAAGCTAATTAATGACTTTTTTAATTTTTCAATATTTAATTATTTCATATATGCATTAGTACAGAATAAATAAATCAATACATTTATGAATACTTCGACAAATTATTGTAACTTGTTTTTTCAAGTCGATACTTATTTTAAGATTTAAAGCACTCATTACTGATGTTTTTACTTTATTATATATTACTATTACCATGATTTTTATGTGACTTTAGGCTATTTATAAAAGCATGATATTTTATGAAAAGCAAATAAGTATTTGTATTAATAATTCGTAGGTTTGTAACAAAGAAAAATAGTATATACCTACAATAGAAAAGTTGAAATGGGTAACCTTCCCTAGTAGAAATGTATCGTGGCTAGAGGGGTAAAATATCGTGGCGCAATATTCGAATCTTGTCTTTAGATGGACCGGACAATATTTGTTTTCAAAATTATGGAAAATTTGGAAAATTCATCGGAAAAGTGTTTTATATGGTTTATTACAAATAATAAACATGTTTCCCATCTGATTTACGCTTCTAATTTTATATTTACCCAAATTATACATAATTTTGAAATGTGGGTTTCATGCATTTTTTTTCTGGGCGACCAAGATTCGTTTTTTCAGTATTATCGAACTTGGGAAATACATGGTATTTATAAGGGTCACGAAAAAAATTAACTTTAAATAATTAATCAGCCCCAAAATCATGATTAAGGCTTTTAAAAAGTCATATGCTCGATCGCAATTAATAGTTTGATACATTTTTCTTATAAATTCAATATAAATTTTAAATGTGGGTTTCATGCATTTTTTTTCTGGGCGACCAAGGTTCGTTTCTCCAGTATTATCGAACTTGGGAAATACATGGTCTTTATAAGGGTCACGAAAAAAATTAACATTTAATAATTAATTAGCACCAAAATCATGATTAAAGCTTTTAAAAAGTCATATGCTCAATCGCAATTAATAGTTTGATACATATTTCTTATAAATTAAATATAAATTTCAAATGTGGGGGTTATGCATTTTTTTTCTGGGCAACCACGATTCGTTTCTTCAGTATTATCGAACTTGGGAAATATGTGGTCTTTATAAGGGTTACGAAAAAAATTAACTTTAAATAATTAATTAGCACCAAAATCATGATTAAAGCTTTTAAAAAGTCATAGGCTCGATCGCAATTAATAGTTTGATACATATTTCTTTTAAATTCAATATAAATTTTAAATGTGGGGGTTATGCATTTTTTTTCTGGGCAACCACGATTTGTTTCTTCAGTATTATCGAACTTGGGAAATACATGGTATTTATAAGGGTCACGAAAAAAATTAACTTTAAATAATTAATTAGCACCAAAATCATGATTAAAGCTTTTAAAAAGACATATGCTCGATCGCAAATAATAGTTTGATACATATTTCTTTTAAATTCAATATAAATTTTAAATGTGGGGATTATGCATTTTTTTCTGGGCAACCACGATTCGTTTCTTTAGTATTATCGAACTTGGGAAATATGTGGTCTTTATAAGGGTTACGAAAAAAATTAATTTTAAATAATTAGTTAGCACCAAAATCATGATTAAAGCTTTTAAAAAGTCATATGCTCGATCGCAATTAATAGTTTGATACATTTTTCTTATAAATTAAATATAAATTTCAAATGTGGGGGTTATGCATTTTTTTCTGGGCAACCACAATTCGTTTGTTCAGTATTATTTAACTTGGGAAATATGTGGTCTTTATAAGGGTTACGAAAAAAATTAACTTTAAATAAATGATTATCACCAAAAACACGATTAAAGCTTTTAAAAGGTCATATGCTCGATCGTAATTAATAGTTTGATACATTTTTTTCCATTAATGCCTTTATGTAAGTGTCAATATTAAAACCAATATGGGCTCCATATAATATATTGATAAACAATATTAAAATCCCATTCAAAACTAATATAAGCTCAATATTGAAAATCAATATAAGATTAATATAAATAAACAATATTTACCCCAAATTCAAAATTATTATTTAATCCACATTTAAAAATATTATTTAATTCATATAAAAAACAGAATTTAACTCATTGATAATATCTTAGCTAATACATAGCTAATCATTGATCAGCTCGATTGTAATTAACAGTTTGATATAAATTTTATA